CGCTTTCTATTCACAGAAAGAGTTTACAGATAAGACACGCGGGAGGGTATGCCAAGGTCCCCCAGGTGGACCCCCACCCGAGCCCGCACTTCCTGTATTGTGTGTGCCCCTCCCCTCCTGCCAGCCATTAGCCAGACATGAATCAGGCAGCTGTCACCTGGACGTAGTTGCTCTCGCAGTAGTCGGCCACTCGGGTGAGGTTCTGGTAACTCTCGAACAGAGCCCGCTTGCCGGCCGGGATCTCTTCCTCTAACAACATCTGCAGCTCTGCCATCTTCTAGCCGTGTGCATCTCTTCCTTGTACACCGGAGGAGAGACAACTGAGCCCAGACCCACCCGCCTGCTATTCTGGGATTCCGAGCCTCGCTTTCGGCTCAGAGACGGCTCCTCCCACTACGCGCTCCCTGCCCGGCCTCCGTAGGTGGAGCGCGGAGCTTGTCGGGATTTGTAGTCTTCCCGCTAAAGGCGCCTCTCAGCTGTAGTGGAGGTGTACTGAGAACCTCTATCGTAGGTCCCGCTTGTCCCTCAGAGGGACTGTCCTTCCCATGGAAATTATTTCCTCAGTTGTCCTTCCTTTTGTTGTGATGTAGAGACAAATACACAATGCACTACTATCATTTCCACCTTATTACTCAGAAAGAACCCTGGAGATAATCCTCAGGGAAAGTGATCAGATCTACAGCTAGCAGTACATTACCCAGAACCCCCAACCGTCCCGATTTCCGCAGGAAAGTCCTAGTATTATAGTTAAATGATTAATTAGGAACGGCACTGCAAGTCCATTGCACGTTTTTGACACATTCCGTCAACGTCAAAGCATATATTTTTTCCAAAGTTTGGCGCGCGTTCATAGAACACCTAAAGGCCGTGACACACTGCAGGCGAAGCAGCGCGGAGCGGTGGCGCTAAGGTTGCCACCTGTCCAGGATTCACCCGGACAGTCTGGGTTTTGAATGCTGTGTTCGGGTTTCATGGAAGCAGAAACCCGGACACAAGATCGATGTCAGGCAGACAGGGGCAACCAAAATTAAGATAGGGGCTACTGGCCACCCACTGAAAATAGTCTAAACTGTGATATTTACATATGAATGGGTGGCGCTATTTACATATGAGTAAGTCACAACTTATTCTCCTAAAAAAATGTCCTCACGTCACTAGAGTGTTCGGGTTTCGCTGGAAGAAAAGGTGGCAACCCTAGGTGGCGCGCTGCCTTTGCGAGCAGTGTGTCATGTAATTTTATTCTGGCCACCTCAGCTGGCGAGAGCTGGCGGAGCTGAGCGTGCCGAGATGAACAATTTCAACTTCAGCCAATCGGCTCGCAGGATGCGACGTTTGGCCGGTTGTTAAGCACGAGCCGATTGGCTGAAGGTGCAGTCAATCATCTGACTGCACGCAAAGCTCTATACCGGATAGCTTTGCTTCGCTCTGCACGGCTTCGCGTGCAGTGTGTCACGGCCTTAAGTGTGAAGGCTATGACACACTGCAGGCGTAGCGATGCGAAGCAATGCAAAGCGAAAGAATTGCAACCTTCCACTTCGCACCGCACCGCAGCTTGTCTACACTAGTTTGTACTGTATTTTTTCATGGTTACCTCTACAGATTCTGCTTGTCATGGATACCTCTACAGAGTGGTTAGAACAGGTCGAAATATTTCAATTATTTAAAATGAATTATTATTTATTTAAAAAGTGCTATAGATGAGAGCTGGATAGGATAGAACTAGGCTGGAAGAGCTTGGCATCATACGCATGTATACACCAAGATGGCAGCGCCCATAAATGCATATGGTGTCATGCGACGTCATGCGATCCGCCTCTAAGATGGCGGGCACGCATTCGCAGAACACGCTGGTGGCCGCTGCACGTTCTGCCGTTTACATGTGCGGTTTCGGATTCTTTGGTTAGTTGCCGAACTCACATAAATATTCATATGTTTGATGAAAAGTTGTAAATGTTTTAATTTTTCATTCGTTTCATCCGAAACTAATTTTTATGCTGTGTACCCATTTACTGACCACTCACTTCAGTACCCAAACACTGGTTCCAGCACCCAAAAACTTGTTTAGCCCCCAAACACTGGTTCCAGCACTCGTATCCACACCAAAACACTTATACCAGGACCTGAACACTCATTTCAGGACCCAAACACTGGTTCTAGCACCTGCACACTGGTACCAGCACCTACACACTGGTTCCAGCACCTGCACACTGGTTCCAGCACCTGCACACTGGTTCCAGCACCTTAACACTGGTTCCAGCACCTGAACACTGGTTCTAGCACATGAACACTGGTTGCAGCACCTGAACACTGGTTCTAGCACCTGAACACTGGTTCTAGCACCTGAACACTGGTTCCAGCACCTGAACACTGGTTCCAGCACCTGAACACTGGTTCTAGCACCTGAACACTGGTTCCAGCACCTGAACACTGGTTCTAGCACATGAACACTGGTTCTAGCACATGAACACTGGTTCTAGCACATGAACACTGGTTCTAGCACATGAACACTGGTACCAGCACCTGAACACAGGTTCCAGCACCTGAACACTGATTCCAGCACCCACACACTGGTTCCAGCACCCATACACTGGTTCTGGCACCCACCTCTAACTCTTTGCACAAACTGTCTGCTGGATTGATCTCCTGGCTGACTGTAGGTGCACAGTCCCGGCAGCAAAGTGAGGCTGCGAGGAGCAGTGGCACGGAACACTCACAAAGTTGTATTTTATTTACAATAGAAAACATCAAATATTGAAACTGAGAACATTTACCATTTTAAGAAAAAAATAAGGTCATTTTGAAATTGATGGCAGCAACAGGTCTCAAAAAAGTTTGGACAGGGCCATGTTTACCACGGTGTAACATCCACTCTTATTGTAACAACACTCTGTAAATGTCAGGGAGGGAACTGAGGGGACCAGTTGCTGGAGTTTTGGGAGAGGAATGTTGTCCCGTTCTTTCCTGATATAGGATTCTAACTGCCCAACAGTCCTGGGTCTTCTTTGTCTGAAACAGATGTTCCTGTTGGAAGGTTTCTCCTCACCTCTTGCACTGGTGATGACTGTCTCTGTATCAGTGAATTACACCACAACATAGCATCACATATAACGTGTTGCAGGAACATGTGCATTACCGCACTGCAATAATCTAAGTGGGCACTAAAGGATTGTTGTCTTTTTTCTATAGGGGAGATTTCCTTTCACTTCCTGTCCTGGAGACACAACAGCGATGGGAATTCCCCTCGGAGACAATTGTGACTGGAACAGATGTTCCTGTTGGAAGGTTGCTCCTCACCTCTTGTACTGGTGATGACTGTCTCTGTATCAGTGAATGACACCACAACATAGCATCACATATAACAAGTTGCAGGAACGTGTGCATTACCGCACTGCAATAGTCTAAGTGGGCACTAAAGGATTGTTGTCTTTTTTCTATAGAGGAGATTTCCTTTCACTTCCTGTCCTGGACACACAACAGCGATGGGAATTCCCCTCGGAGACAGTTGTGACTGGAAGATATGTTCCTGTTGGAAGGTTTCTCCTCACCTCTTGTTCTGGTGACAAATGTAAAAGTTTGGGTTTCCCATCAATTTCTGTCTAGGTTTGAACACAATGCACGGTATTGTGATGCGTGGCATTAGAAAAACATAGGTCATGTCTGATTTTTTACACGTTTTGAGAGAGTGGGCAGCCCACTATTTCCAATGACTTATTTAGAGAGTGACAGTCTCTTTAAATGATGCAACCCAATAGTGGCCCTATGCTGAGTCTTTCTTCTATAGAGGACTATACACAAGGTGATACTTGAATGAATTATCTCCAG